CGGCTGTGTGGCACAGACAGACTACCCCCCCCCCGTTAAAGGTGTGTGGGAGTGCATATGAATACATGTGCACGTTTGTTTGTGTGTGTGTACACTGGTCAGAAGCTCTAATAGAGCAGACAGATGGAATGGAGGTTGGTGGAGTGTTGAAATCGGTGAACAGCTTATCTGCAGGGCTTTTGCTACAAGATAAAACAGTTTGTGCACTATAATGTGAAATATGGACATCTTGCCGGCATACATTATACTGGGTTTGGTAGCAGCACGGCCCATTTTCCACACCATGAGGTGAACATGAGCACATTTGCACTTTCAAACTGTGTGTTTTATTAACTTCAGGTCATATAATCTTGTGGAACAGCATGGAAATTAAAATAAACAAATCAGTAAGTAAATGAATACATATAAATAACACACGCACACACACATGATCGCAAGCAGAGAAGCAAAATTGGGTTAAAGGGTTAGAATAGAAATTGTGCTTCAGTAATTTTGCGTTAATTGCGTAAAATTATTTTAACGCGTTAAGGATTGTCAAATTAATTGCATGCGTTAATGCATTAACATTGACAGCCCTGGTCATAATAGATATTCTTTATAAAATTATTTTAAAATATATACTGTATTGTAATTATAAAAAACATATAAATAATGTTGTATTGTAATTATAAAAAATATTAACATAATTATAAACATTTAATTTAAAGGTATTAAAAATGTATAATTATATTATAATTTCATATAATACAAAAATATAACATTTTTAAATATCCCAGCCCTAGCTTTGCTTTGTCCCGTCCAAGCCTTGAGATAGTATGTAGACCGGACACAAAGCTTTAAAACCTCAGACCAGCTCTTTGTCTGTTATGGAGGCCAGCAGAAGGGGAAGGCCGTCTCTAAGCAGAGGATGGCCCACTGGATAGTCCTGGGCACTGGCTTGTGGTGCCTCGCTGACAGATATTTGTAGAGCTGTGGGCTTGGCGACCCCCAACATGTTCGCTAGATTCTATAGCCTTTGTGTGAAGCCGGTATCCTCCTGTGTTCTCACCTCAAACGGGTAGAAGCACTGAGAGGCCCCGGCTTCGGGTCGGCTTGCAAAAA